TTTTCTATCACCCGCATTCAGCCCGCTTCTTGATTCGCTCCCTCCGCCATGGCTCTGCTCCATTCGTTTAACACCACCCGCCCGGCCGGCCGCCCAACGAGCCAAGACCTCCTTGCAGGTGTGTTCACATCAGCTACGCACCCCATCGCCTATGTATAGAGATATATATATCTTCAAACTCCATTGTGACGTATCGAGTGTGTTCACATCACTACGCCCACCACATCGCACTATGTATAGAGATATATTATCTCAACTCCATGTGCGGTATCAGAGTGTGTTCCATCACTACGCACCACATCGCACTATGGTATCAGAGGATATATATCTCATACTCCTGTGCGTATCAGAGTGGTTCCATCACTACGGCACACATCGCCACTATGCAATTGAGATATATATATTCTCACACTCCATGTGGCGTCTCAGGAGTTGTTACATCACTACGCACACATCGCACTATGTATAGCAGAGATATTATTCATAACTCATGTGGGCGTGATCAGAGGTGTGATCAATTCACTACGCACCACATCGCACTATGATAGAGATGTGTGGTTCTCATACTCCATGTGGCGTTATCACGAGGCGTGTCCACTATCACTACGCCATACGTTGCACTATGTAATAGCGGGGGTATATATATCTCATATTCCATGTGTAGTATCAGGTTGCTTCACATCCCTTTTGCCCCCACCCACATCGCAATTGCTTATAGAGAGGAGGTATCTCATACTCCATGGGGTATCAGCAGGGTGTGTTCAACATCCCTAGCCACCACATCGCCACTATGTATAAGAGTTATTGATATCCCTGTGCGTATCAGGTGTGCTTCACATCCCTATGCCCACATCGCACTATGTATAGAGAGATATATCTCATACCCTGTGCGTATCAGAGTGTGTTCACAGATCAGGGTACGCTGGCGTAGTTCCTTCACTAGGAAAACGGGATATCATATCTCCTCACCATGTACACAGGGTAGTCTCTCTATTCGCAAATAGGACCGATTTATCTGCCCAACACGTAACAATTTTCATACCAGATACACAAGTATCTTACTTATCCGCAAATGACAGGGTTTACCTGCATCAACACGTAACGATAGGTACATCTCCATCACAGATACACACGTTATAGAATTTCGCAGATAGATGTTGGATCTCGTCGCTCGTTAACAGGTATATCTTCTGCGCGTGCAAGTCATTACATTACCAGCTACACAGGTGTATTCCTCAGCATGGAAGCTCTCTCAAGCTCTAATTGTACAGCTGATATGAAGTGCTTATACGGCCCTTCATAAGTCAGCTATCCATGGCCGGAGCCAGTAAAATGACGTTAGCCTTTCATTATATCACCACGTTCTAATTAAGTATTATCTGATACAATGGTTGATTCCTTACTGGCTTATCTGTGCACGCGTGAGCTACTATGTGCTCTTGCTACTCCTAGTAGGATGGGCAGGGGACGTCTGTCACCAGGTTAACAGCCTAACAAACCGGCTAAACACAACACAACGTGCAACACTGTGCGATGAGAGGAAAGGGCCGGTGCGCTGGCGAAGAGGCAGATTATGACAACACGGGAGCACGCAAACCACACGCGAAGGCTAGAGAAAAGAATGGTCAAGAAAAACGGAGACACTGAGAGAAAAAGACAACAACAACAGGCGGCAGATAGACGCAGACGGACGCCTAGCCCGCTAGACAGATACTATGATATATATGTATACGGACGTAGATCAAAGAACGAGAGAAAGTCAAAGAGGACGGGGCTGAGCGTCGCGCCCCCCACACAAACAGCAGCACACACCGACACACACACGCACGCAACGCAGCACACACACACACACAACCCAGCACACACACGCCGCACGCACGCGCACAGTGCGCGAGGAGATGGAAAGAGCAGCCTACAAAATCAAGCCAGCGCGGTGAAAAGAGAAACCGATTGTACAGAGAGAGAGATGTTGGTAGTGTGCGGGCGTAGCATCGTTCACGATTGCAGTCCGCTAGGTAGCCTTGTGAACGTATTTGCTACCTAATTACGGTTCCGCGCTCAGTGTTTACCAAGCATTCATTTACCTCGCTATACTTAAGGTTGCTAAATTACCCGTGTGTGTGTCGTGTGTGTGTGTGTGTGTGTGTGTGTGATGTGTGTGTGTGTGTGTAGCCGACCGAACGTGGCCCCGTGCTGGATGTGTGTGTGGCGTGTGGTGATGTGTGGTGTATGTGTGTGTGTGTGTGCGTGGTGTGTGGGTATTGCAAGGCAGGCGCGAATGCCATTGTGGATAAAAGTTATGTAAGTAATGTAACAATCCTGACAGCATTGTATGTGATATTATAACACCAGGGGTGAATCTATTATTCAGGAGTGAAATCTATGATTATTCACTCCTGATAACATGATGTTAATTAACTCGTTATTTTTATAGCTGCGTACCTAATCACTTGCTTTTGGTCTTATGGAAAATGAACAGCATGTGTGCGGTTTTTACACAAGTTACCTCAATTGCAGATGTTCGTTGACGTACTATATGTTCGGTGACAGCTCGATCGTATCAGTCGTACGTTACTATGTATATTATGTGCGTCACTAGGTGGCGGGCCACAAGCACAGAAATCGTAAGCCGGCGCACACGCGAGTCATTTTACTCAAGTAAAATGACTCATGAGTCATTTTACTCACGTGTGCGGCGGATTTTCGTTGAGGAATTTGACGCATGCGTCATTTTACTCAATATCAAACGTGTTTGATAATTTTTGACTCATGCGTCATTTTACTCAACGTGTGCGCACGCGCTGAGTAAATTTACTCAACACTGGTACTCACAGCGCAGGCGTTTAAATCATTGTGCGCCCAGTATTGGCTGCGCACAGTCACGTGATCTGCATTACCACTTATTCCTTAAGTAATTTTACTCACGTGTGCGGCGAACGCTGAAAATATTACGCGTGAGTATTTTGACTCATGCGTCATTTTACTTGAGAAAAATTACTCACGTGTGCGCCGAACTTAACGAACTACGATTTCTATTGGCGTAATTAAAATACGTATAATACGCCAACCTCAAGAGGTGGTCGAAGGAAATCATCAGCCCTCAACTATACGCCAGTAAGAGTAGAATTTGCGAGCACGTACACACTTGTGGCGTTTGCCCTTTTATGGAGTATGTCAATAAAACGCGAAATTTTATAACCCAACATGAACATAAATGTCTAACGTTCTACCCATTATGTAACCGTAACTATTCAAACGATTGATAGGAACAGTGAGATGTAAGAAAATTATGCTTAGTAAATTGTGGTGTTGGGTGACTCGTGTATGTGCGTAATTGACCAAGTATTTGGGTCTATCTAATTATTACGAGCAGTATTCAAACTCATTGCAGTTTTCAGCGGGGGATATAACATATCTAAGTAACATATAAACATATCTATA